TTCCACAATGATAAAACCTCTGTTCATTGCCTCTGGTATTGGCATGCTCTCTCCGGTGACAGGATTTCGGTATACTCCATCCTTACGGTCCACAATACCATCAGCGACGGCGCTGAAGATGCTTACAATCTCATCAGTCCTTGGGTCCAGCACACCAGTAATAGAGAAGGTCTGAGATTCTCGCATGAAGTCAGACGAGAACATCTCCTCCTCAATCGTTTCTAGAGCAGACGACACCGTCATCATATCGGATTGCTGTTCTTCGTCATCATCCTGCGCCTTCTCGAAGATGATCATCAGTTGTACCTCATTATGTTCTATGGTAAGGGGAATATCCGTATCGAGTTCAACGTGCTTCATCCTAAAAAGACACGCATGCCAAATAAATATGCATGGAAAATTGTTTGCGTGCACGTAGAACACAAAACGACCCTAATAATAAGTTAAAAACGAGTGAAATGACAACAAATATATATCTAAATGAAATCTATCTACTCAAGTGTTTTTATTTGATTGAAATTTCGATAGTATTCCGTCAAATCTCACATTTTAAAATAAGACTTCTCAAACATTTTCATTATTTCCATTTTTGCAAAATCGAAGTTTTGGTGCATGATGAAGTGTAGAACTCAACTTCCTTGAAATCAAATATCGCGGAAATAGACAAGAGTGACAACACGCACTCACCTCTCGATGTACCCATTAGAGCACCAACGTAATTTGCCCTCGTCATCAAAGCAGAGGTAATACTTGGTATTGCTAGACTTGTCCACGGTGTTGGTGTAGTCATCGGCATATATGGCCAACTCCTGGGGATCGCAAATATATGTGTGGCGTAAGTGCATTACGGCTAACATAATACAGAACCTTACAAGAAGGGTTCTCTGGTGATTTTTGAGTGTCTCAGGGCCTTTAACGACTGATGTATTTTAGTGCACTATCAAAAGCGTCCAATAAAAATTAATAACAGCTGATGTGTTGGAAGTTTTTTTCTTTTTAAGTTTGCTACCTAGGAAATATCATGGGTGTTGCCAATGTTGTTCTTTCAAAGGGACTTTTTTCTTTTGCCCATGACTCGAAAACATGTACACAGTAACAATAGCCGACTCATTAGAACCATTACATTTTAATTACCCTATTATTTTGTAGCTTCAAAGTTTACAAAGGGTGGACGGAAAAATCTGTCAATTCCAATCCTCGGTTATTACTCAATTAAAAATTCTAAATAAAAGTTAAGATTTGATCTAAAAATGGCCAATTATTATTTTGTTTGATTGCACTGCACGCCTATGCTTCAAAACGTACCTCAAACGTGTCTACCATTTTCTCGACTTGTTTCCACTCGACAAAAAATTTCGTGGCAGAATGGCGTCTACCTACAATAGATAAATGTCAAAAAATTAAAGCAAAAATAAGGCACAATTAAATAAACATACGATACAAAGCAACTGTGCTTATCATTCACGACTCCATATTGATTCCAGAAGAAATGAAGACCACATTTTTGTGCACTTATCGGCGTCCACTTTCAAAGTGTTAAAAACTTCAGCTGAAAAAATATTAACTGTTGGTAATTGGTCGCTGGAGGCCTATATATTCAGTCACTATACCTTTACTTCTAAGGACCTATATTCAGCATATATCTAAATCTGCTTTTAAACAGTCGTGCATCTTAAAAACTGCTTTTAACGAAGGTATATGCCTACTCTATATGGATGACATAAGGACAAAATATAAAAGAACTAGAATTTAAAATATGACAACAGTTGCCATGACAACCGATGCTCTCATGACGTAGACAATTATACATCAGCGACATTCATCAATACCTGTTGATATAGCTTATATATTGCTGGAAACGATGCATTAGCAACACTTAATATTTAAAATAGAGCCGTGACTTAAATATTTCGTCAGTCGCTTCTTGAAAAATACCTAAGCCCGATCTTATGAAAGATATTTGAAAAGAATCCAAAGGAAAGAAAAGTGAACCAAATGACCTACTTAATACCACAACCAAACAAACTATTGGCAGTCCATAAAAAGAGGATATCATACCTTCGTCTTGGTCGACTTTTGAGTCTTGGAGCAGTTTCGCAAAGGAGTGAATACTGTGGAGGAAGTCTCTGAGGTCAGCTCCTCCGGGTTCGTCAATCCTCAGTTTTCTCAGCGAGTCTTTCAGCAATTTCATAACATCTTGTGTCTGAGCTGGATTCAGCACGCCGAGCTAAAATGTAGATCATTGGAATAGACAGACTACCCTTTCCTTGCTAAAGACAAGATCGATGTACCTCCTGGGGATTGCGCTATTTCAAATAACAACATTAGTACTGCTACGGCTTGCCTTCCCAATGTGAAATAAAGGGCGTTTAATGCATCGTCGTGCCTGAGCAGAGAGATTGGCCTGATGTTTTTTGTAATCTATTCTGGGAAATATTTCATCTCATTGTCTCCTAAGGGATTTTTGCAGTCTGGTAACGTAAACATGAATATGGAAGGTACAGAAACGAAATGCAAATGTACCAAATGTGTTTTGATTCTAGCAGACAGCTATTCAATTTGTGTGGGGCTACCATGTGTTCAGCATTCTTTAAATTAAAAAAAAACTAGTAGTTCTATGAAGTGTTGTATTGTCTTGTCTACATTCCTCATAATCGATACCTCAACCGACGCAGGAAAAATAAATTATACAACGTTACCACAGCTGTCATGGAAGTCTTTTTCATTACGAGTTTTACCTTCAGCACACTTCAACATACATATATGTATATTATATTCATGCTTTTTGCAGACTAATAATAATTCCTCTTATCGACCCTTATTACTAAGTTTCAAATTCCCTTCTGCTATTTCCGTCCAAATGTGTTAAGGAATTAAAAGGGATCTCTGCAGAGAGTATAAAACTTGTTTATTTTTAGGATCATGAAAATTTCAAACCATACCTCTGATGAATCAACGCCGTTGATCACCCGCGTTAGAAGACGTAGCGTCTGACTGCGAAGCGTTCTAAGACTGTGCTCCCAAATGTTAACCATCCTTTGGCGAAGACTGCAAAGAGCAATAAACATTGTTTTTCTATATCCCCATAGAATAACTCCGTTTATTTTCTAAGACTGGTGCGTATTTGATCATTTTGGTGCGAAATTCGTCTACTTGACAGTACGCCTAACTATGTGCATTGCCTAGTCAGTTTTATTCTTCACAGTTGCTGTGGATAATTTCACACCTCATTTGTTTTAACATCAAAAAGATAACACAGGGAACAAATCAAATGAGACAATACTTATGAGACAATATGTTCAGCATCCGCTAACTCGCTAGTATAAGCCAAGCAAACAATAAAAATATCAAGTGAATTTTTATTATCAGTATATTTTCAGTTGAAATTTAACATGATAAACCTACCCATTAGCCTTGTCCACGGCCTCGCTGTCCGGGGAAGGAATCAAGAAGAGAATGGCCGGAGCAATGCTTTCCACACCTGACGCACTTCGCACCTGTAACAAAGATTCCAAAACGTGGTACTTTTAACTGCTATCATACGTTTCTTGTTAAACTTCAGTATTGTTTCCCGTTTTGTGTTACTGGTGTATGTTGGAGTTAAACACAAAGGTATCATGGTTTATACTGTCTCCTATTTCTTACCTTAATTTGGTTTTATTTATTCAGTAATTGAGATGAGGTCTTATGTTTAAGTTACGCGATAGAGACTAGTCACCTCCCACTAAAACCACTACCAAAGTATTTCCTACCTTCCACTTTGTCCCATGTGTGTTATCCAAGAGTGTTACTTCATCATCCTCTGCGACAACAAACTAAAATCCGTAACAAAATGTTACAAAATAGTTACTCTTAGTTGCTATCAAACCCAATCATTATAAAAAAGACCAAGTATGATGATTTTAAAAATGACCCAGAGATTTTGATATCTGACAGGGTGCGCTGGTAGTCTGATACAAAATTGTTGTACCAGAATTTTTTGCCATTTATATATTTAACAATTTGATCTAATATAAACCATTTAATATTGCATTTCCTGAACTCAAGCTAAGGGATATATTGATTGAGTGACGATAATTCATGTTATCTAAGAACGTTGTTTTAAATAACATTCCTCTTATTTATACAGAATCAATAAACCTACGTCTTTGTGTTCATATGCTGCCAGCGCTTTCATCTTCAGTGGGTTTGGCGGCATTTCCTTCCTCCATTTCAAAGGAACAATCGTCCCGCTGCGCTCGAACAGCGTTTCCACTGTCGTCTGCAGTTCTAAAAGACGTCTTGTGGTTTCCTAGAAACAGCAAGGAAAATACAAATCTAAATAATCTTAGGTGCAAAGCAATGACAGCTTGAGAACTCAACAACAAAAAATACTATACAGGTCGTTTTCCTTGAAATCTGTTTTTGACATTATAAAAATGCATTAAAATTATTTGGGCTTAATGCGTTATTAGGTTTCCGTGATTAGGTTTCCGAAAACTACACAACTGAATACTCAATGAATAATAAGCACTAAAAAAGCACCAGCCAAATCTTCCTGCCAGGGTAAGATAGAAGAGCTTGATTTACACAGATGGTAAAGTTTTCCTATAGACTAGCATGACATGTTGCATGTCCTTCAGAAATGGATGACAAATTACAAATTACAGAAACCATTCATAATTGCTTTCAATCTCTACGTGTTTCATTAAATTGTAACCTTTCAGTCTCTTTGATACTACTGAACTGGTTACTCCTTTCGGTATAATTATTCATATTAAGTCACTACTTCACTCCTTTCTTATAACATGATCAAAAATTCAAGGTCAGTGAACTGTTTCAATAATATAAACCCGTGATAGCATAACAAGTTTATTTTTTCAATAAGTCTAAAAAGCGGTTGGCGCAACGTTCACTATAAATAAGAGTTGCTGTTCTAAAACACGCTCAGTACTATTAAAGGTCTTTGATCAGTTTATAGATGTTTCCTACTTTGATAGACCAACGATATTTAGATAGAATGTGCAGTGGGTTATGAAAGTAAATAGTTTTTTTTTATATAGGAAAAACAGAAAACTGAGAAGCGACGTACATGTAGAGTCACCTCTTGTGATTCGACAAAACATCAAATTTTACTTATCACGCGCATAGCTTGTGATATATCGCTGATAATCAAATTAGTGCGTTAACTATCTTGCCCTTCTTTTATTAATTACAGTGACATTTCTCTGAAAATCTAGTTAATGACTGGGTCTTCGTCACATTGCAGTGTATATTACCATCTTCAGGCGGAAAAAATGCCCTGGATATTATAGTTAATAATACGTGAAAAGAGCAATTACATTCACTAACATTAACTATTTCAAAAGCTTTATTTTTGAAACGATATTTGTTGTCTTATTCAAATGTAGATGGCGAGACACCTTAAAACTAAAACAACACAGACATCATGGTTTATGGCCGTTGGAATACGTACACGATCCAAAAAAGAAAAAAAAAACAGAACCAGGCATCAGAAGAGACATCTGGCGGCGTTAGTAGCTGACTAATCCCGATGATTATTTAAATATCAATGCGCAAAAAAACTAATGGAAATAAAAACACACGACTGACTGTCATTCTTAACATACTCACGCGTATGTCCAGAATTTGTTGTTGCACATTCTTGTTTTGTTTTGCATATTTTTCCCTGGTTGATTTTGACATCTCGCTGATGAATTGTGCCAAGCTATCTTCGTAGTGCTTAACCTCATGAAAAAACTGAAAAAGAAGTACATTTAAATAAAAACAACCAACGGAAAGCATGTGTGAGGTAAGATACAGGGATATTAAACAGAAATCATGACATATATGGCATTAATACAGAAATGTGAAATAAGGATCCAGTCGATAATAAAAGCGTGTGCCTCTCCATTTTTTTTCAGTCGTTTGCACTTTATTGCAAATTCTGTTTTGACGTATTTCACTGTCCTGGGATTTCTTACCAACTGTTGCCTAATTTACTTTTACATATTGAGTTCACAGAAGGCTTAAAGAAAATGCAAACAGATTTTATTATGCTTAAAATGCTTTTCGTACTGGAAACGTAGCGTCACGTCACGTCACGTAGCATGACGCACTGAAAACATGGTCGTGTAGCGCGGCGTATTATTATCGTGTCAGGTTGTTTGAACGAACTCACTTTGTGATATTCTGCAGCATGTGACTCATGCACCTCCATACACCAGGTAAGATCAGACAACCAGCTCCAGCTCTTCTTAACTGCACCCATGCAGGACTAAAATGATAAACAAAAATGCTTTGATTTCTGGAGGGAAAATACAAAGTAAGAGCATTCATTTTTGGTCTTAAAGGGCACTCATAAATCATAACTACAGGCTATATTTTTCCTTATCTTCCATTCTATCCAAAACCGAAAACGCTACTTAAACTCGCCTACTTTATAATCAGGCTCCAAAATGGTTACTATACTCCTCTGTGATCTATACTTTCATCTGGGATAATTGCAATATTCATTTTTTTCCTACACTACGTAAATAATTCAACTGTTTTTTGTTATGAATATGAACTCTGCGGGCGTGTATTTATACTTCTAATTTACGTATGTATTTTGCCTTATTTTATAGCTGCACAGAGCCTGCAGGTGGTGATATTCACTTTTGATATGTGTATTTACCTGGTATGTTTTCGCGGTATTAGCATCGTAAAGTATCTGCTCATTCACCTCCTGTTGTTGTGATACTAACTCCAAGGCTCTTGTATCCACTTCTGCTGATACTTTCTGGAGAGAGATATAAACCGAGTGAAATTTATGGAGAGGAGGGGGGGGAGAGGGAGATAAACGTAATCAAATATTAGGAATAGGTTTTATTCATAAAAGTATTTTATCGGAACTGACCTGGTGTGAAACCAACTCAATTCGATTTGCATTATAATCACTTATTAACTGCTTTTAAAATGGAATACTTTTCAAAATAATTTTTACAATTGTTCTACTGACAGTTTACCTGAAATAATTCTTCTATTTCTACTATTTTCGTCAATGACTCCAAACATTTTTGTCTCTCTAGTGAAAGAGTCTGAAAATATAATTGAAAACGCATACTGAACATATTCTAGTTTAAAACAATGTATACAGGTAAAAATCAATAATAATAATGATTCCCTCTGCAAAAGCAGAAAAATAATAATTGTATCCAAACTGAATGCGTGTTATTTACTTCAATGATCTTACACACAAACAACAGCTCCTGGTCTTGTTTTTATATGATTAAGAAAACTGAAAGAATCCAGCAGAACTGATTCTTAATTACACTGCTACACGTCACTCAAAGAGGAAAAAAGTGCATCACAAGGTCCTCTGCGGGGAGTTACTCACTTCATCAACAAACTTGTTTTTTATATCTCTTGCGGTCTATGACTAACAAGATAATATTTACGATCAAACTAAAGGTATCCCAGAATGATGCCATTTCAGACTTAATGTTATAGTCATAGTTAGCTGTTTGGGTGGGTTATATTTTCAGTGCACTGCACTAAGTTGGTTCTAAAACGTCTGCAAAACAGCTGTGTATACAAGCGCCTCTATGCAAAATAAACAACAATATTAGTTAATGACAATAGTTATTATGATATCCTTATTTCAGTGTTTAAACATCGGTCTTTTCTTCTTTTCGTATTTCCTCCCCTCACCCCTCTCCACCCAGGCCTTCCAAAAAGTTACAACGCATACTCAAAAATCATCGACAACAACCCAAAATTCACAGTGTATCCAGGAAACACTGCCAGACAGCCCTTTCTTTCACAACTGTCTCAAGGTGTCATTGTCACTCATATGGTACCCTCTACCAGGGCGACTGATAGATTTTTACGGATATTCACAGATATGTCTCTAGCTAGATAGATTGTCATTTTAAGCTCAAGTCACTTGACTTGAGCTTAAAATGACAATCTATCTAGCTAGAGACATATCTGTGAAGTGATGCCATTTCAGACTTAATGTTATAGTCAGGTCACTTGACTTGAGCTTAAAATGACAATCTATCTAGCTAGAGACATATCTGTGAATATCCGTAAAAATCTATCAGTCGCCCTGGTAGAGGGTACTCATATGGTATGACTCTTACGTGTAAGTCACCGGTTGAGTTCTTATTGTCGATCCACACGTGATACACCGTCAAATAAACAGGGATCTCCACGCCTTCAAATTCTGCCTTACGGCCCTCCATCGAGCACCTTGTTAAGTCATTGTAGAACACAAACTTGCGTCTTAGATCCAACACCGCTGTTAGTAAAGTGCAAACTACTAATGGGTTTATTTTCAAGGTCCCGTTTCAGATATGATAACCGTAGAATATATGCCTGTGTATGTCATGCTACATGTTTGCATGAAGGTTTAGCAGCATTGAAGAGGGAGTAGCGCAAATCGACCTTTACTTCTGATATCAGAGATAGACTATCGACCATTGTTATTTCCAAATGCTGGTGCTGGTTAATGATTGAAGTGTATGTACTTAGCTGGAAAACTAGACACATGATATGATAAAAAAAACATATACAGCCATTGAGAGATAGAGAGAGAATGTATCGAGAGGGAAACGGATACAATTTGGCCCGAATGGGACAGTATAGGACTCATGATCACGAGTTTCACTTGCATTGGTCTAACCACTTTTCTCGACATACAATTAATTAGACTCCTATCATGCGCCCACAGCAATCACTTTTGAATAGACAATTGGAATCGGCTATGTAAAACAATACCTAAAACCGCACAAAAATGCCAGATGTGCCGGAAACCTTACGTTATGTTGAGCGACGTGGTGTTACGGCAAGTAACGCAACGTTACGTCACATGAAGCGACGTAATTGTGAGGGTTTAAAGTATCATACATATCTGCTAAACAAATGGCGCAGTTTTTAATATAATGAAATTAGGTCCAGGGTATGTGTTTCTTTTTATAATTTCACGAAACTGTTATGATTATTCTAAGGCCTCCAAAAACCAATAAAAGAATCAACATGGCAAATAGGAGGGGTTTTGAGTGCATGACAGCAATCGCAGCAATGATATGTAGGTGGCTTCCCAACAAACAATTCTTCTTCTCCACAAACAAAGTCAATTGCAAACCGAAGAGCACCCAGTGGTCCTCTGTTTCCACAAGTATATTTTAAATATTAAAATCACATACACTAAAATCAAAGAGTTTAACTACCTGCCTAAAGGCCCCAAAACCCAGGTAATCTAACTTACCAGAAGAGAATCATACGCAGTGTCCATGTTGCCAACTTCTTCTTCAGTGTACTGAAATAATATAAAAACAGGAATCATGAAACTGAGTCAACACTTGTCTAGGCCACTTACGTGATGTGGCGGCGGTGGAGAAATTAATTGTTACCAGTTCATTTACTTCAGCAGTCATCCCTACAGGGTTCGCTGCGGTATGAACCTGCCAGCAAATATCGAATGTTTTTCTTGTATTTTTTTCAGTAAGCGGATAAAAATGTTTAGCTGATATTTGTGTATTTTAAATGTGGATATATTACATTCGTGTGTGGATGCTGACTTTGTGCTGCGATGCTGTGATGAATGAATATCCACACAAGGATTGCTTAGTTGTTTCTAAGTAAAACACACCTCTCCTCATTCTCTCTCTCTCTCTCTCTCTCTCTCTCTCTCTCTCTCTCTCTCTGACACACACACACTTGGACGCATAAAATATTAGTAATTGCATTACATGCAATATTAGCCAAGTACCATACTCACCTCCTTCCTTGCCTGCATTAATAACGAACAAACAACAATTAAATTAACTGTACATGAACATGCTAATCCTGCCCACACATTCACAGATAAGATTAACGTGGGCAATTGATAAGGGCCTCAACGACGGACGCTGGTCCAAGGACTTAATTAAACATGATCACTTTCTCATATCACAACATTTGTTTGACAAATGAGAAAATCATTGATATGAACGAAAACAACTATTTTTGGTCGGGTAGCACTTTGTAATTAAATCACTTTTCTGATTAATAATAATTGATTTCATATAGACTAAATTTCACATAACAGGCGGCTCTAACTGATGAGAAAGATCCACAATATGTGCAGTATGAGTTTAATACTACACGCTTAAAACTCCATGAAATGTTAAACCACAAGGCATAACCTTGATATACTGTGATGAACAAGGCATTTTTACCAAATTGAGACTGTGTAAATTGATAGCCAGGACACAGTGCAACGCATAGCAAAGATGATGTGTGGCATTTGCCGTGATAACTTCGTTACCCTGAGTTTCACATTCTGGCAGACAGTTACGTCAACTGGCGGGAAACTCGCCTGCTATATAGCTGGGCAAAATCGGACTTTTAATTTCAGGGTAACCTCTGTCAGCATATCGGTGGTACAAGGTTTGGGCAACATAATAACACTTTATCCTATATCCAAGAGGAAATATTTGTTTTGATATTGAAAGTCTAAGTACAGTCCTCTATACTGATTGTGTCTAACGTAATTAGAAGTAACGTGATCATCCAATTAATTGCAAACTAACGGATTTCTGTGAACGTGTTCATCTTCCAATTTCCTCACCTTTTTTGACCTAATTTTCTCCATAAATCCTTTGAACTCTGTGATCAGTGCATGTTTCTTCCTCTGCTTCTCTGTCTCCTCTTTTAATGCCACTAAAGTATTACCAAAAGCAGCTTCCCGTAAATTTTTCTGAAATCAGAAATAAAGATATGGGCGTGCCAGTAATTAAAAAAGAATAACGTATATATGTCAGATAATAAAGGAAGAGCCATAAAATGACCGAGCAATATTAAACTGAAAGTTATATTAAATATTATGAGTGCAGTTTTCCGACGGGAACACGCCATCATACCCTGAAGCAGGAACAAGGCGTGAGGTATGAAGTAATAAAATTGTGAATAGTTACGACAGATACCGGTTGCTCCTACAGTGTAAATTGCATTTCGCTACGCATGTGTTGATATCCATTGTTTGTATTCATCATACTCCAGATGCAAATCACATAAAAACGTTTTGCTCTGCATTTTAACAAGGGCGCTATGTATCGCACAACTTGACACAGAACACTCGAGCTCGGCAATACACTCATTTACAAACACACAGTTTTCGTTAAGCAACAACCACATACGGACATGGAGATAGTTTGTATAACAGGATACTGCCCTCCCCTATATGAAATGGAATACAATAAAATAAAACAAAACAAAACAGAATAAATATAATGAAAAGTATGGTAATAAGAATAGGACTCTGGTTGCAACAGTTCAAAGTTAAAACAAACAAAAAAAAAAAAAAAAAAAACGTTTCCAACATAAAACATGCACTTTATTTAAAGAGTGTAGACTCTGGACTTCATCTGACTTGAATATTGGTAAACCGTGTACACGTGTTTCACGACAAGTTAGATTAAAGCCCGCACTATATTATGTACGTTAACAAGATGGAAAATGTACTGAGTGTAGTAATCACACCGAGCTTGACAGAAGAGGAAGATATAGCGAGAAACAACAGAAAAAATACATTTGTACAGACACAGTTCTGAACCTAACCTAGCTGTAGTGTTACATCTCAGATTGCAATATTTTCATCTCAACCAAAGCGCTTGCTCCTTAGCAACAAAGTCCCCTCTAATAAATTTGTATCGCAAGCACAGAGTCAAAAGGGAGGCGTTTTACATGTCAAGTCTACGTGATTGCCCGTCATCTCAAAACTACCTATATTTTCTGCTGTGCGATAATGATGAAAACCTAAAGAAAATCATTTAGAAGTGAAGTAACACGTCACCTCGGCGTGGGAAAACCTGTCAACCGTCAGTAAAAGGTCTGTCGTATGTAACCCGAAATCACTAATTTGACTCAGAGACCAACTGTGTTATTATGTGCAGTTGTTCCCGTTTTTTCCTAACGGTTTTATATTCACCTGTATGCATTAGCGTTTAGCTAATATGTTTGTTTTGTAAAAAGAACCTGGAGGTCTCCGGTGCTAGTTTTCTACTCTGTTGGGTGACACCACCGGTTTATGCTAGTTATCATATTTCCAAAGACACACAAAGATCAGCCACACATCTTTAGTTGCATCCAATGTTCCGACTCTACTATAACAATAGCATGGTTTGACATTGGTTGATAAAAAAATCTTTGAAAAAAAAGAATCATAATTTGCATCAGCCTCTGGAGGCTCTGAGAGTGAGGTCGGTTTTACATCGTACAATTTTACCACAAGGCTAGACAGGATAGTTTACGTGGTATTAAATTTAATCTTAAGTTTTCAGAATTCATCCTGTGTATGCCTAATCTGATTAAACTCCACCCCTTTATCTCATATAAATACTATATCTACACATAATCATATCGCTATCACCAACCCCGTCACATTTACAAGGAACATGGTCACAAACAGTGCGATTACCGTTTTCTGTTTTCATTTTATTTTCTTTTACTTCTCAATGTTATGAATGCTGCGAGCTTGGTGTAGTTACTTTGTGATATCTGAATGTGTTGTTCATAAACATTTTTTCCTATCTTTTTAAATGGACTTTGTCTAATATCAAAAGATGAGGCTCTTTAATATGTAACCACTGACTGTGCCCCTACTGTCATTGGTGAATGGACTGTCAGTGCCTACTGGTGGTCTATGGTGGTCTGAGGAGTGTAAAGCAGTGTCCAAAGCAATCATGCTTAACATCAACTGTTTTTACAGACATCAGTCTATCAATCTGAACTGCACGAGCACGCTCAGCAATGTAAATATCAGACTAAGTAATGGTAGGCAAATTAATTTGTTCATTTGTTTAAAAAAACTGACAACGGAATCTTTTCTGATACACAGAACATTTAACTTTGTATCGCGACCTCGTCAAAGCCTCGCAGGCAATGCATGCTCCCTAAATGCGTTATCAAATACGGGAACTGTGAATGAAACTGGAAATGTGACCCAATGAATGTAGTAGCAGTCTGTCAATGACGAAATGAAACATAGATATCAGTAATGGCAGTCCACCAGGAAAGTCCGTTGAACATCTCATCAATCACCCAGTTGCAAATATACAGATATCTATAACTGCAAAAAAAAAAAAAACTGACCGAAACAACAGTTCAACTTAGTGAAATATGACGACGCCACGGGGTGTTTGTAACTATCGTTAAAGTACACGCGGCTACTTTCCACGCATTTCGGTATTAATACAGAATTCTCTTTCTAAGTTTCCGGGTGCTGTCGGTATTCCTCTGAAGTGGTATATATAACTTTTTTTAAAAATGCCCTCATTTTCATGCAGGAAATAATACAGTTCCCTTTTTAAACCAACGAGCACCTCCCTGAGGGATTTTTATAAAATATCTACAGTGAGTGTATGCAATGTCAATTATTTATGCAACTCAAATCAGTCGAACAACAGTCGAACATCAGATTATCTAAGACGAAATAATTACTACATCGTTTCATCAAATAGTGCATTTTCGTCACGCTCTTAGCCATCTCTGTCAGAATACGACGATCTTTAAAGAAGTAAAAAACCCTCCCACTTTCGTTTCTAGGCCCACTTGACAAGCAACCATTGAAATTTCAGTACCTGTCACCACATCCTTCTGATTGTTATTATATATCCTTTTTTAACGATGTCCCTCATATACCCCCAATTTTTTAAACTGTCAAGTTACTGGCGGTCAGGTATTATCTTGTCAATATACCGTGCACTGGTCATTATTCCAGACATACATATGTCACTGCAAAAAAATGCTTTACTAATGTCATTAACGGGTCAGTGATACTGTCACCTTTCACTGGAGTGTCTGATTTTATCACAAAAAGTAGCAGTTTTCGACGTGTTGTTTAACACAGTGGTTTCCGTCGTATTGATTGGTTAGATTCCGTTGTGCCTGTTAGTAAGCGGGTTCTGTCCCCTAACACTTCTCCTCCTCTTACGTTTTAGGTAACATGAGAATACAAAGGAAAAAAAGACCTAGAATGTCCGTCTTTAAATACTTTGAACCAGGTATGTAAATGGACCTACAGAACTTTAATGTGACTTTTCTCTGGTATTAAAACTTTTCATATGAAGGGGAGATCATCGGTGTCACTGTTAATGTCCTCTCATATGAACGCTCTGCTGCATGGCACAGGTACGGCATACGCAGGCTAGACTGTATTCATATACCATTATAAAACATCCATTCACTTGTATATCTAACCATCTAATTGTTCTGTAAAATGTAAAGCTTACCTGAAACTTAAGCAAATGATATCCTTATCACACCTATTAGACGTGTACTTGAATAGAAGGAGTCCTCTCACACGACCAACTGTCTCAGCACAGCCAGTCCCAGGTGAATATTTAACACACTGTGTATAATATAACTATCACATGTCCCTCGTAAAAGGAGGACTGTCGCATATTTTACTGTCTAGGCATATCATACCTGCGTCCACATTCTCATGTCACTACATTGTTTTGATAGTGATTCGGTAATCTTGGACGTTCAATTTTAGTTCCTATCGAATTATTTATCGGTGACTTATTACGATTCCCACCCTTAACACCCGGAGGTTCGGGGAGAATGTATTAAAGCGGCAACAATGTCGGTCAAAATGTTCGTGCAAGATGACATTATGGTGATTTAGCCGGGTGTTCAAATGTTGGGATTTTGGCTTGAAGCTGATTTAAGGTCAAACGAAATGTTTTTTGGGGAGAAATAACGTTTTTATGGTAAGGAGTGCAGTGCATTGTAAGAATTATGAAGACAGGTTATGGCTGAACTATGTCATTCATACAAGGTGACCAGGGTGCAAACAGTCATGCTAATATCACAGTTGCTGTGACCAAATATGGTCCTTCCGTGGAGTTATTTTGATAGCTTCTGATGCACGCAAACATACACCATCACATACACCATCACATACACATTCACTTGAACGATGGAATAAAAACTGACCACCACGTTACAAATAACAACGCCTTTGACAAAACGAATCACCCCAATCCCTTTAGACTTTCGAATGAACTAAAACCATGTTCTATGGTTACTTTAATCAAGCTCATCTTTAAGATATTTCATTATTAATACTGAGAACTATAACTTTGAGCAAGCATCCGTTTAAACAACACTGTCGTCACGCGCACAGCAAAAAGCTCGCCTTCAGGCTTACATTTACATTTACACCGTCTCCATGCTTTGTACTCTCTGCTAACAGCCCGGCTTAACATTTACACTGCATCCATGTTCACATCTCACGACTGGCCCCAGGGTAGATCTCCCCCCCCCCCCAAACAACCACACTGTCACAACGCTCACTCATGAAAACTTCCCATGAAAACATAAGCACTGCATACCTGTCCATAGCCAGCACGCCATTAACACCGGGGTAACCGTCATATTAACAGGTTACCTGAGCATTCATTGATTTCTCTCGTACTCACCTGTTCCTGCTGTATCCATATCATACAGTCTTCCAGCGAGCTGACCACTTTCTTAGATCCCATTTTGCCCTGTAAAAATCACAACAGTCATGTTTTAATCCGTTAACTTGTCAATATTTAATTCAAAGTTGATGTAAACAGTGGATTCCTTGCTGTATGGGCGGACAGCGCTCTGTGGTACGACGCACAATAATCAGATAGGATAATCTGACCCTTTCTTCCTTCCGCTTTGGAGAATCTAACAAATGGATAATTAATAAATCACTGTCTGGCCGGTGCTGTGCAATGCTGTCTGTATAGGCGACGTCCTGTAGAAATGTGAAAAGTGACTTAACCTGAAAGAAGTGATGTATTACATGAACGATAGTAGCGCGAAATTTTGACGATGTTTTCTATTTTCCACCCCAATGACCTCAAGCTGATTTGCGTGTCTTTGAAGATCATGAATTATTCACCATCTTTATATAATGACGACATTTAATGATATAAATACATACTCCTAAGTCATGCTATATCAAAAGTAGAAAGACCGCCATAAGGACCTTGTTAAACGTGTGAACCTAGAACATTGTGTTTTACGTAATGATAATAAGCGTAATCAAACTTCAGCTAAAGATAACGTTATCGATTCCTTCTGGCTAGTCATATCGTGGAACCCACTTAATTTTCAATGACTAACCTACAAAAGGTATAAAGCTCATCGGTGAGACAGATACACAAACGTCCACAGATGTTACATACTGATATTAATAACATATCAGTGACCTATGCTACATGTCAGCACGATGATGGTAGTGAAAAGTCAGAGGAAATTAGACCAGCATGAAGAATCTTTACTGCGATTTTAAATGGTTTACTGCCACACACGGAATGATGAGTGCATCACCACCGAGAATTACACTAATTGATATATGTGCCTCTACTCAAGATAGGCTACTTTTCTTTAAAAAACGTGAAATGCCGCATTAATATCTATTTTATCTCCATACAAGTACTTAAGATTGATAATTATCATTATTCAGTGAGAGAGTCATATCTGAATAAAATCACTTCTTAAACCATGAAATCGAACTGTCACTAATAAGTAAACATCAAATTCGTGCTTGAAAATACAGAAAAGAGATCTTCACTCTTCAACTAGGACTCCAATTACTTCACCCCAAACACCATAAAACATATCTCCATTGTCCCAGACTCACCCTAAATCAAGTTTTATTGGTTTTATCACCGCTGAAGGCCCCACCTCGGTTCGTAATTCTGGATTCTGGTGTTTATATCTCGGCACATGCTCGAGATGAGTCACCATGACCAAGTTTTACAGGTAAATAGATAATGTGGGTCCAATCTTGTATTGAGAGAGTTCAGTGTCACGGGTCAGGAGGGGTATCAGAGATCGAGAGTCCCGGATAACTACCGGTATAATATATGGCAAAGGCTATATCTATTCTATGGTAGGTTTTCCTTGATAAGTATGAGACTGATTGAAGGCATTGGTGCTGATCATTTGCTGATCATTTGGAATACTCCATCAAAACAGGTTTTGATCAGGTTTTCATAACTATTCCCGGAACGCCCAATGTCTACTTCACCTTATTCACTCTTCAAAACCACCATAATATTGTACCTCCAGAACATTAAATGTCCTGCTACACCAATCAGCCACAAAACGCGCCATATCTTGATGCATTTCTATTCGTCCAATTCGCCTTTAAGGTGTAATTTATCTTTGTCAATTAAAAGCAATTAAATTTTCGTCTCATACTCGCCTTTGTGGTTGACTGTTATCGCTTCCATATTACTGTGAAAATCGCCATATGCGTGTGCTCCGTCCTTCAATAGGGCCGTCATCAATAGTTTATCATTCTGATCTAGCACGTACCCCAATGCGTATTATCTCTTTCTCTCTCTATGATCACAAAATTCTAATCGTTGCTTTAAATTTTTAAGGAAATATCAAGAAAAAACCCTTTAACTTCTGACTATGGAAGCTCGGCTGTACCTAAACGGTGTCTTAGCTATATTTATAAAATTCGAGATGAGAATGGTCGTATTGTTTCTGTTAAAGGTACACAATTCTGTTTTCATTAGCACAATTGTTGTTAATGAAAATAAGCCTTCGGCGCTGTTTAGAAAGGTGCTCTTAATTCCATCCATATAAGAATACCTACGATACAATAAGGAATATTTAAACAAGTACCAAATGTTTCTAATTTTGATTGTTTCTGAATCCCCTACCCCTACAGGTCCTTCTACAAGCTACCTGTGTTGCCTCACTTAATACAGGTCACAGATCCAGGAAGGGACAGGTGGGAAAGCGCACGAGCAGAGAAACCTTCTTTGGCACTTAAATCGGAGAAACGTGATCGCTGTATCTCCCTTGACGTTGATTACCTTATTTACCGTTATCTCAATCGACCGTATAAACACGTTAGGATATCCAAACTGACAAACGTGATAACTAATTTTCTTTCTCTTCAAGCCCAGTTAAAGAAAGCCATCTGCACACAAGTGTTGTATTTGTATTGACATGACTTCGCACAAGAACAGGTATTTCTCGTACAAATTACTCTTGGAGATGTCCCCGGCATTTTGTCAGCCATCCAAAATAACCTGAACACCCGCAGGTGACACGACCGACAAATGTACATCATCTCTTTGTGCGACTGAGCAAACTTGTCTATTATTACTATTGACGTTTGAATTAGGGTTTCATATGGCGTAAAGAACTGATGGTCCAATAAGGAAAAAAGTGAAAAATCTAAAAAGATACAGAAACTCTACTAGTCAGGTTCTGACGATCGATTAATAAACAAAATTGCACTAGGAAATTGTTCCAATGATTTCATTTGAAATCCTTCGAGATTCAGGCCGACGGCGCGGCGACTCTTCTCTGTGCCTACCCATGCAATAGTTTAACTGGTGATAAAATAGGTTGGGTCAACAAAGTCTATGTTTTGACGGAAAGGCACTCGGCTGGTGAAAACTGATGAATTTAACCTTTTTAAAATCAATTTATCCTCTCCCATCTATCATCACATAAAAAGCCATTAAATCAATTGATTCGATTTCGTTGATAGCTCATAGTGAGTTGAAATGTCTTAGAATCAACAACGGCATGGGATATACGTATCTCATAAAACGAACAAAAGGAGGTTTTTGCTCTTTTCTTGGTGCATTAATCAATTGTCGTGTAGAGAAAAAGTTGATATTGACTAAGCCCTACACATCTACTGTTGAACGATGGTAACCAAGAAACAGGCGTTAATGTTGGATCGCTTATTTAATTGCTACATTTAGGAAGTAAAATTGCTAGTAAAAGTTGCATTTGTTTGTTTTAAACTGCCATTAAGTATTGACAGATTTTAATATCTTGCTTATCACTTGACCCGACGTTTACCTTGGGACAAGTGAGTGTTTGCTTACTTGTGTCAACGTCACCTCTCAGTGACTCACATCTAAGAGTTTGGTTGACATTTAATCTTCAATACTAAATAAAACAACACATTGAAATGTTTGACTTTTTAGTGTTTGTTAAGTCACATATTTTCTGATATCACAACCTTCGTGAACAATCCAGCCACTTTTTTAGGTTTCGCTCTTCATTACACTTCGGGAATTTACCTTAAAATCTCTGAAAAATGATAGCTTACGACTTCCCATTGTGTTATTGTTCAAAACGACTCAGTCATGAAATCGTATTTTAAAGAACGTAAATATACATTCAACCCGTCGCAATATTTGTGATCTTTACAAAGGCTTAATGAGGTTCACTGACGACCTGGATCTGTCTTAATTTACTAGTAGTGTAAATCTCAAATTGATTTTACTTTCAACGTCAATTAACACTGACGTGTGTACGCCATCTGTGGCCACTTTAGGAAATAGTGGTGCAAGTTTTAAAAAAGCAGGCTTTCCCTAACATATGATACCATTTTTTTCTTTCTCAGTAGAATCATTATTTCAATCATATCCGTCAAATCGCGATGTCTGCCAGCGTGATGCTAAAATTTCCAGAACACCTTCCCAAAGAGCATAATGTATTCACCAAGAAAAAGGCTCATTTGACTTTCAAGCAAACACCACGACGCAGTTGGGTACCAAAAGCAATCACAAAAAGTTTAAGATTGGGGTATAAGTTGCATCTTTTAAGGAACTGATAAAACAAAGCAGGCTTCGAGAAAATCCCAGGAGAGAAAAATTAAGAGCAGACGAAAACATTTTCAAGGTAAGCGGATGATTTTGCGTTAGGTGAAAGAGACCTTTGAGGTGTGACCTTTCCGGCCGCAGCTCGACCCCGTCCTTTGAGAACTCTGTTGGAAGCGACAACCATCGAAGCTTGAAATTACATTAAATCATGGCACTTCAGACGAAATAAAAAGTGTTTATAGTGCCCAAAAAGGATGAAATTGAAATCGGTGGTAATCCAATATTAAGTAAACTAGCTAATTCCTAGGCAGGAGTAACCGGTTTTCGGCTGGTCTTTCCTGATAGCAGCAGGACCCTTGCGGCTAGTGTCTCGGTGTTAGAAATATCCATTCCAAAACAAGTTTCAAACGGTTTCTCTGCCCGTGAGGCATTGCTTGTCCTCAAAAACAGTCATCCCGACGCTCACCTTGTCTAATTAATTTCTTTTTGCGTGGATGGCTGAGGACCTACCCATTGGACACGCGGTTATCATTGGTAAATTAACATTCGCCCATGACAAACAAATCCTCAGACTACACAACAATACACAGAAGTCGAAGATATATCAGTGCAGCTAACAAGTAAGGGGTAGGCGATAGGTGTGGACAGGACAAGCGTCACGTTACCTGAGCCACACCCTCTGACACCGCAGGATAGGACTACACCTTGATTTATGAAAACAAGAGCAATGTAAAAACTCCTCCCATGTCGCTCTTTTGACAAATTCATTTTTATCTTTCAAAATAGTTCAACTATTGATGTCCAGTGGGTCACCTCTGACTGTTTTTTTTTTTTTTTTTTTTCAATTACATGCATTGTGATATTGTGATTTTTATGCAATCTGAGAAAAATAGAGACCAGACGCATTGGAAACGTTAGGATGC